ATAGGCTGCTTGATTTTGTTTTTTTGTTGTGACTTTTGCCAAAGTTCAACTGGGGGTTCTATCATGCGTATGCATGAAGAAAGAAATTTAAATAAAGTTATTGTTCCTCACTGAACATGTTTATTGTCTCTTTACAGCTTTTTTTGTAACAGAATTTAAAGTTTTAAAACCAGATTAGTAAAAATGCGTTCTCAATTTACCCCTCTTTGCTTTCTGATGATCCAGTTAGAAATTAGTTTGCACTTACACTGGTATAACTCCTCTAACTTAGTGAAGCTATTTCAATTGGTGCAAATGAAAAGTGAGATTAAAAATTGGCTTTAATTTTCAAAGGTCTGTTAATCATTTCATGTTAAAAGAGTTGATAGAACAAAGAACTGGTTCCCCCCAGCACTGTCTTTGCAGGGGGCAGAGGAGGTAGACGCACATCAGGAAACAGCGGGAGTGGGGACTGAAGTAGTCTCAGCTCACATGGCTTCTAAAGCCCCACTGGGGCTCTTGTCCATTTCAAAAGGTGAGGCGCTGCAGGGAGCTCTGGGCCAGCGCACTCCCCCATTTCAAAAGCTGAGGCGCTGCAGGGAGCTCTGGGCCAGCGCCCTCCCTGCAGGGCTTCTGCTTTTGTAATGTACTAGAGCTCCAGCAGGGCTCTTATACATTTCAAAGACACGGGCCACAGGGAGCACTGGGCCAGTCCCCTGCTGACCCCGTGCTCCCTGCAGGGTTTATGCCTTTGAACTGTAGCAAGAGCTTGGCAAGGCTTTTGCTACAGTTCAATGGTCGGGGTGCCCTTATAGACTAATTGAATAGTTGATGGATATCCCATCGACTATTTGATTAGTTAATCTAAATTTAACATCCCTAATTTTCATGGCTCCACCAGTCAAATTCTATATTTGTTCATGTGATTGGTTCACTTAATACACTGGAATAAGCAGTGTCTGACTTCTGATTGACTACTAGTATAAATTTGATTAGTGTTTAAACTAGGACAATATTCTTAAAGATAAATGTTAAATATAGTGCTAACTAAGCTGAATTTAAGGAAAAAGTATTGTGAATAAATGTATCAATCTGAACACACTAGCCCTTTCAACTTTATACTAATGAAACTAGGTAACTAGTTCTATGTCAATCATGTAATAAAATAACTATTTAGAAAGCCTTAAACTTATTTCTTAGTAGTAGTATTAGCGCATTTAGCTGGTTTGAGAGAAATTAAAATTGTTAAACTAAACCACTTTTAAGGCTTAGGGACAATTCTTCAATGTAGGCATTATATTGATGTTGAAAGATTTTGCTTCATCTGATTGTAGCCTCAGGATGTAAAATTCCATTTAATTGGTTAACTCCGCATTTCTCAGACTGTGGGTCCTGACCCCCAGGGCGGGTCATGAGCAATTTAGAGGATGGTCACAGTATCACAAAGTTAGAGAACCCCTGGACTAATTGATTAAACTGACATTGTTGATGGCGGGCCTTCCATAGCCCTGGAGCAGCCCCCTTCCTGTGGCAGGCAGCGAGCTGCTTGAGGCACCACCAGTGACCCTTAACCGATAAGGCTCATCCATTAAGGGTGAGGCTTACCAGTTAAATCTTCACATCCCTACTGTAACTATGCCTTTTGTGTCAAATAAGTATAATTTCCTGCTAAACATTTTAGCACAGGTACTCAGTAGTTTGATATTGGCACTTTAGTAATCACAGTGTATAAACTGATTATCAGATACAGGGCATTATATGAATTAAACCAATTAAGTACCCTGATGTAACTGGTTTACTATGTTCAGAATATTAGTCATTTTCATTAAAACTTGCCTTCTTGTGGCCACTTCATATAGATGCTGGGTTCTTTTAGGTATGTGTTATGAATTTAGTTCTAAGTATATATAGTTAATAGAATTTTTCTCTAATTGTACCATTTACACTAATTGATGATGGTAGAAAAGCTCAATAGTTCCAAATCCCTAAAGTGTATTAAAGCAGAAGAATTAGCTTTTCTTCCCACTTGGCAGAAATGGAATAACCAACAGAATCGCTTTCCTTTCTCCACATAGGGCAAAAGTTTCAAAGCAGCATGGACCAGGTACAAAATTTGCATCTGCATCCACAAATTCTGTGCCTAACCACATCCAGGGATGTAGGTATAAAGCAGATACCCACAGGCTAATTTTGGATGAGGATACAAGAATTAGCTTTTCTTCCCACTTGGCAGAAATGGAATAACCAACAGAATCGCTTTCCTTTCTCCACATAGGGCAAAAGTTTCAAAGCAGCATGGACCAGGTACAAAATTTGCATCTGCATCCACAAATTCTGTGCCTAACCACATCCAGGGATGTAGGTATAAAGCAGATACCCACAGGCTAATTTTGGATGAGGATACAAATGTTGTATCGGGAGGCCTGCAACTTTGTGGCAATCTGCATCCTCACCGCTGGCTGGTGCTTTAAAGCAGATTTCCACTGATTTGCAGGGCAAGTAGCGGCTTTTTCTCTCCAGACGGCGG